CCGTTTTTTTTTCGAAAACTCCCAGCTCTCTCTTCTAGATTCAACTATGTCGTGAAGACTGGCTATTACTTTCACTTACTTACATATGTAATGTATAGTAAGGGAAAGTATTGCGATCGTGAAAATTTTCGAACCTGAGTTTTCAAAGAAAATACACGTTTTGAGTCCAAATAACCAAGTCCTGCAAAATGGTATTTCTCTGAGGGTTAGCTCAAAAATGAAAAGTCATATGAAAGTGAAATCGCGTATTTAAGTTTTGTAAGTGGTGAAGATGTTGCAGCGAATTTTTCGTTAAAACCGACTAACCGGAAGTGCCACTTTATATTATAGATTTTAGACATTTTTACGATTTTCTTAAAAACAGCTCTTAGAATATTGATTAAATTCATCATATCAGTGTAAAATTAAATGTTTTTAATATGTTAAAATGTTTTTAATATAATGTAGCTGTTATTCTCATTGATCTTCTCTATTTGGAGTTAAATGCTTAATTTTCAGAATTTTTTTCAACTAAAGTACTTTTATTTTTTAATTTGAAATAATTAATCATTTCACATTGGAACTTGATATGAAAATGGTTAAATATGAAGTTTTCAATAATTCGATATTTATCTGAAGGAGAAGTAACCTAAATCGTTATTAAATCCTATGAAGCCCGAGCGCGCAGTCAAGTTTTTCCGAAATTTAGAAAAGGCTTCTATACATAATCATGTGCTGTTTTCGTAAATGCTAGCGTTGATATAATTTAATATTTAATTGTTTAGATTATAGCAATATAAAAATTAATATTATATATATATATATATATATATATATATATATATATATATATATATATATATATATATATATACTTACCAATGCTTAAACATATAAATATATTTACAATGAAATGTGTATAAATTTAGAAGCTCTCATTATCAGCGGCACTCATGTCAGACTAAAAATATTTCGTGGCACTTGATTATTCATTATAATCAAATAAATAACTAATATATGCAAGCGTTGAAGACAATGATTAGCGGAAAAAAAGTATAATACTTAAGAAGTGAATAAAATAAGGTAATTGATTGTTTTAAAAAAATATTTTGTACAGTCTGTGATTTTTACTTTCTCTTCCCTTTTTCTGAGAATACCTATTTCTCCGAATGGAAGGGTTGCAGGTATGAAACATGGTGATCGTCGAGTAGGTGTTTTTTTCCGAATCTTTACAACCGAAAAGCCATCTTACCTTATTGATTTGTTTATTCCTCGTTTCTCTGTTCATTCGTTCAACACGAGGTCTCAGTCCATAAACTTGTTTTTTCCCTTACATTGAACCGTTTCCTTTAAAAAGTCCTTTATCATGCGTGCTACCTTTTTTATGGAATTCTCGCTACGCAAATCCTCATCCTTAACCTCATTTAAACAACGTTTATTCTACCACCTCCTTAGCAATCAATCGAGTAAGGATAAAATTTCGTCTTAAAGAGCTGTTATTTTACTGTTACTTACATATCATCAATATTGTTAATCAGAATATGTTTACTACTTAATTTAGTTGAATTATATGGTTGTGATTGATTATCATGTTGTATTAGCTAAAAATTGTCTTATTGTTTTTTTTTTTTATAGTGTCAAACAATTTTCATCATTTTGTACATTATAATTATTCTAAGGGGACTCAATGTCCCAGAAGGAAACTTGTTTTCTTCTTCTCTCTTCTTCTTGATTTGAATGAAAAACATTTTCAATAAGATTTTTGGAATAATATATCCTGATAGCGTGGTTGAGAAGAATAGTAACAACTTAAGTAAAATTCATGAATATTCAATTATCCATACCTTAACTTTCATATCTGTCAGAATCATGACAGCGTTCTCAAGATCCCAGATGCCTGAGGCTGGTAGGGGGGAAAAAAATGTTTCACCCACGATCGTCCTTGGAGAAGATATCGGTGCCTTGGTGACATAACAGCCCTTTGTGTCAGTGACATCTGTTCCGCTATGACACGCTCTGAACGATATATCGTTGTGATTGGCAGACGTACCGGTCGTTCAATTGATATTGTATAATAGTTCATTGTTGAAATGTCAAGTCTATAACAAGACGTGTAATTTCTAATTAGTTTACAATAAACAAATATTTAGTTCCCCATATTTACAGTTATCATGTATAAAGTGGGTGAAAACTGCATGATTCACCATGGTGTTAGTTACAATGATATATATATAGATAGATAGAAAAAAAAAACTTTATTCTGGGACTAAGTCCCTTCAGAATAACAATAATGTACAAAATAATAGAATATTACTGGCCTATACGTTAGAAACAATAAATAAAATTGATAAAATAAAATAAAAAGTAAAGAAAACCTTAGGTGCACAAGCTATATACAATACAGATAAAACTATGTACAGAGCATTTAAAATTATGAACAAAACAATTAAAACTATGAACGAATCACTTGAACTATGAACAAAATTATATATAAGGGTTGAACCACATAAACATACACTTTGAGAAATGAAGAACGAAAAAGAGATACAGTGAGTTCATTTCATAAAATAAAATTTAAAAAAAACTTTACTTGAATATATATATATAAAAATAAACAGTTAATTATAATTGAATAAAAAAAAAATGTATGTATTGAAATTCCTACGTCGATAGTAGGAAATGCATGTACTATCTCTAGTATCAAGTATTATGATTATATGATTGCTACACAATACATATATAATATTAACAGTTAGCTGGTATCTGACTGTTTTTGGAACAGGAATTGGAATAGGAGGTTTTTAAATGTGTATAGGGAGGGGGCATGTCGAATTTTGATCGGGAGGGAATTCCAAAAGTTGACAGAGCGGGCTATAAAGGAATTTTGGAATGAGACAGATCTATGAGAAGGGATGTATAGGTCAGAGGGTCGGGATCTTGTAGTGAGGGAATGGATTGAGGACTTAAATTGGAGAAGGTTGTAGGCATAAGAAGGACGATGATCGGTAATGATTTGATAAAGGAAAGTGCCTAGGAAATATTGTCTTCTTAAGGAGGGGAAGAGCCACCCTAACTCAGTGTAGTGGTGGGTATATATATATATATATGGGTATATACAAAATACCCAAATCAGTATTTTTTTTTTTTAAATGCTGTGAAACAGTTATTATCCAGTGTTGCACACTAAATAAGCCTGAAACATACAGTGCTTTTTCAGTTTTTGACAGATTTTTCAGGGATCACACATGACGTATTTTTAATGAATGTTGAAATTATTCTTCGTTGTGGAACTTTGATAATATTTCAGAATTTTAATTGTAACTGCTGATACACATTAATCTCAAGGATAACTCTTGTGTATTTATATATCTAATGAATCAACGACTTTATTATATTTATAGAAGGCTAGGGGATTACAGCCTACCCGCCTAAGAGCGAACCAACCCCCATTTTACATATTAGGCAACTGTTCATTTAATTGTACTACTCGTTACTCAAATTTTATAACTTTAATTTAAATGTATTCTGTAGTTCAGATTGTATTATTGTATATAGTGTAAGCAGAAAAATAAATAAATTTTAAAAGTCTTTATCCTATTTTTTTTTTTTTTTTTTTTTTTTTTTTTTTTTTTTTTTTTTTTTTTTTTTTTTTTTTTTTTTTTTTTTTTTTTTTTTTTTTTTTTTTTTTTTTTGTTCTTCCCTACCTCGCCTTTTAGGCTATACGGGATTTTCCCGGGCCGGGGGGTGAGGGCGGGGAATTTAAAATCCCCTCCGGGACTGGGACGCGAACTCGTACTTTTTATATCATCTCAAATCTCTTTATCCTATTGTCTTGATTTGTACAAAAAAGATCAATCGATGATAAAATGAATATGAAGGAGTTAAAAATTAATCATAACACTATTTAATGCATCCCACTTTTCGGAACATTTTGTGAGACTTTATCAGCTATACCAAACAGGATTTAGGAAAGGTGAAAAAAATAAAAATAAACAGTATGGTAGTACGAAAGATACAATAAAAGTCGCAAGAGTAATTTAAAAGAAAAGTATTAATACATGAACCAAATAAGCTTAAAATTAAGCATTTGGTCCAAAGAACCCGTTCAAACAAATAATGGAAAAAGTTTTTTTTTTTTTGTGGTATGAGAGAGGAGCCTTCTGCATGTAGCACCATAACATCTTTGTTGATTCGTTGTATACATCTGCATTTTAGATTTCTACGTAATATTTTGGCTACTATTGGGGAATTTATTGCTGTTTAGAGGCCTTCAGATGGATTGTTTCGAGCTACATGCCCCGCCAATCTTAACCTCCTTGCTTTCATATCATGAGATATTGATTAAACAGTTTCTATAAGAGCAGTTAGTACTCTGATCCCAGATCGCTCCGGTTATGGTGCGGAGGATTTTTCTCTCAAATATTTCATTACTTTTTTCTAGAGTGCTGGTTAGTGTCTAGATCTCGCCGCCGTATTAGTAGAACTGGATTTTTCAAAGCATTGTACACCCTTAATTTGAGATTTTTTGGAATTTCAATACCTTTGAAAGAAGCTATGTTTGCACTTGCTATACGCTGGTCTGTTTCCGACCGTTGGTCATTCATTGAGTTGGAAGCAAGGTATTTGAATTTGCCGACTCTCAGGGAAAGGATGTAGATTAAAGAGATTAATGGTTTTATTTTGAAAACAAAACATGTAAAACCTTAATTTCGCTTTGATATAGTGTATTCTGATGCCATTGATGTTTTATAAGACTAAGTATATTAAATATAACTTTTTCAGTGAATTATACAAATCCATCATTTTTTCAACCAATTTTATATACTTGGTATCGTTATTGACACTAATGAGGTATCGTTATGAAGAACTCATATAAAACCCGAAGATTAGATCGAAGGGAATTAGAGGATTCCCCCTGTTTATTAATTTATTCATTTTCCTCTGCATTACATCACAGTCTAAGTTATTCGCCATGCATTATTTGCCAAACGTAGATTCCGGAATTTGATTGTTAGCTATAGTTAGTCTCCATCTGCATCTCCACAAGGTTCAATGGCCAGGCCATGACGCAACACCCAACGAAGAACAGGAAAATATTCTAATAATTCACTACCACAATCACAGTCATTCATCAGATTGGTTGAACGAGAAGGTCTCGCAACCATGGATGCTGCAATACAATCTGATCTGAGATTGATGTTCTGCAAAGAAAAATAAATAAATACACAGAGGAAATTCTCTTCTTCCTTCAATCTAACCTCCTTCGACTTCCACATGAGTCTCTGGAGTCAAAGTGTTTTAAAATTTTATATAAAATCTGTCAAAGTTTATTGAACCTGATATTTATTAAATTTCGCCAAAAAAGCACTCTAATTAATTCGAATTGCTGAGATATCTGATGTATGAAAGGAATCAATTTACTTTTATCTCCCGCTAAAAAGTTTTTGCGTATAACGATTGCATTCGAGAGAAGCAGGATCTTAATTAGTTTTCAATTAATGCATGACAGGGGTTGTGTCAACAGACCGTGCTACGATAACTGGCGTCAATTAGGTGTTTGCTTTGAGATTAGATATGTTACTCTTGAGCGAGGAAATTGAACGAGTGCTGAGAAAACGGAAAAAATGTACAGGAATTCGATATCGAATGTGAAAATTTAATTAAACTTTGTATTTATTTATTAGATTTCTATTAATTGGAAATGTTGGCAATATCCTGTTGACATTTCCATACACATGATCTTCATAGTAATAGACATGATATTGCGAGATACAGAAATAATATATTATCAATAAAATATTTTAATATGTTAGTTTTTCAACGAGCTAAAGTAGCAAGGTACTCTTGAAGAAGAGACAATGGCGCTAGTCGCGCCGTAATAATTAATAATGGAGGTTTACTTTTATGATGCTTCAAGTTAGGAAAACTTTCGGACCAGAGAACAAGAGGAAAACTGAACTACAATTGTTGTAATTCCACTTTCGTTTACACCCTTTTTAAGAATAGGAGAGCAATACAATTTTTTGGAATTAGAGGCATGCTATTACTACTGGGGGAGGAAAGGGAAATTGAACAATTTTAAAATAACTAAAATTATCAGCATATCATCCCTAAATATAATATTAACATATTAACATATCTAATTTATATATATTAGGGGGCGGGGTGGCCGAATGGGCTAACGTGTGTGCACAGCACCGCGAGTTGCCCGCCAACCAGATAACCGTAGTCATGAGATTAAAAAAGTACGAATTCGCTTCCCGGTGCCGGAAAAGATTTTAAATTCCTCGCCCTCACCTTCCGGCCCGGAAAAATCTCGTATACCCTAAATGGCGAGGTAGGGAAGAACAAGAAAAAAAAAAAGAAAACAAGGAAAAAAAGAAAAATATAATGTATATTATAAATATAACATTATATTTTATATAACTAAAATAAAACAACATTATACTGCCACACATTAATTTTAAAATCTAATCCTAGTTATAGAATTGGGAATATATAAAAAAATCTAGGATTAAATAACTTTCTCCCATAAAATAAATTTCGTTTCTCGCAATGGAACGGACTTGGTAATTATTTCTGCAATCATACACCTTACAATGTTTTTTTTTAGCAGTAAAAGGGTTATTAAGAAGAAAAAGTTACAAGTATTCAAGACAAATATATTTAAAAAAGAGCTATGAAAAAAAATACTGTAGCCTAAATAATCTTTGTCTTTTGATTCAATCTCTTTTTTCCTAAATTTGTTTTGTTTCTATCCATCTTCCTTATTTATGGAGCCTTAATATTTTTTCTTTATATTCGATCACCACAGTTTTTATTATATTAAAATAATACATCAGGGCCATGTTTAGGTTTTGTTTTTGTGTCAATTTTTTCTTGGTTCGAGTAAAAAGTAAACAAATATTTCAAGTTGGGTCTCTCATTATCTTACTTGAATTGTGCGGTCAGTCTCTCCATAATAAGACTATGTCTCTCCAGACACGCAACTTGAAACACACTACTTGATCGTTTCTTTACTAAAACAAATGAACTACTAAATAAGACTTGATAATGGAAGTAGTATTGCAGAAATGTTGTATTTTAAAATTATAAAATAAATAAAAACTCTGGAGATCGAATGGCCTTATGCTTATGAAAAGAATAAATTTGTTTTATTATTTTAAAGTTTTATCATCTTATGCTTTAAAATAATACATGCAGATTATTTTTCTTTGGTAAACTTTACGTTTAAAAGTACTACTATACACCTGTTTGAAATACAATTCAGTATAACATTCCAAATTTTAGGATCCTTGTAAGCTAAACATGATCACATATTGAAAAAAAAAAAAGAATTCTACAGGAATAGATGTATGTCAATACAGTTTATTATTTCTAATTGAGTACTCATATTTGTTCCCGGATGAATTTGTTAACTAGCCAGGTTGCACGCATGATCTACGTAATCATTCTATAATTGAAAATAACAAGATGCCTCTACATACGCTTGGTCGGCCATCTGAGTAATTCGTTCTTTCATCTCAAACGAGTCAGATTTTCTGGAGGCTGACTTTTAAAATTATTCACGATTTATTATTTGATATATTTTATTAAATTGATGAATATGAATGAACATAAAAAAGATGAAATATCAGTAGATATATCAACCTGCAAGAGAAACTAAAAAAAAAAAACAAATATCCGATCTATAATAATTCTTGTACCAAGGAGAAAAAATAAATAAATAAAACTTAATGAATATAAGAGATTACATTTTGGTGCCCGAACCTGGTTCAGAGATCCTTAAATTCATTTATCACTTCCGAATTTCTGCATGCTATACTGTTGCTCCTCTGTTGGTTCTAGCTATCACCTAGTTTTTAGTATCCTCTTGGAACTACTGTGGCAATAGATAAGATTCGGTGATATAATTAATTACCTATAAAAAAATTAATATTCCAAATAACAAATGAATAACCTATTATAATAAAAAATTACACTACACATAAAGTGTGGTAGTATAGATCCCTTTCTCGCCTCTCAAGAACGAGGGATTTTGTTGAATGCAGTATCAAACGAAAGGGAATTTCTAGGAGAAGTGAGGATTCCTTATTTCGATCCTTATATTCCTTTGGCAATGCTATTAAGTGATGGCCAAATTTGGGAAGTTTCAAAACACAGATGGTTTCAAAATTAACGAATCAATAAGGTATGAACTGTGTTTTAAAGTTTTCATAGATTCATAGCTTTATTTTTCCATAGATATTTCTGCAATTTCCTCGAATTTATCATTCAAACTTTTCAAGAACTTATTCCTCAAAATAGATGGAAGGATCTTTTTTTTTTATTATTTCTTCATGATATTTACAACTGTATTAAAGAAATACATTTAGTAAATTTGAATATTTAGAAACGAGAGCATTGGGATGATTCTGATGTTTATTATGGAAGGACAGATATCTGGATTGGGCCAGGTCTGAAAAATAAGAAACATTAAGGTCATTATGGATGGTTTTATTTGTAACAAAGTAGGGAGCATTGAGGATTTTACAAAGGATTGTAAGGATTGGATACGAGAGGAATTCGATGGTTTAGTGGAGCCCCATAGCTCAACTCCGTAAGTCCAAACAGACCTTATTATAGTCATGTATATGAGTCTTTTGTAATTCATTGGAAGTTTAGAGCGTTTTTCTATAAGTTCTGAAGTAATTGGAAACGTCAGGCGGTTTCTTGTCTTCAGTCTGGTATGAGGATTTTTCAAAATTAAATGTCTTTCATATAGAGAGTCTTTTTTCCCATATTTTCTTTCAATATGCTAAAATATTAAAGACCAACCAGTTGCTGTCTATAAATTTCGCCGACATTATTTGCTTGTATATGTTGTTATTAGAAACAAAATTCTACGTTAGAAGAGGCACAGCTACACCAACTTATACTCCCATGAATACTCGCATAGACTCTTCCAATTCACGGGATTGCATTATTATATCTGACGATTCCTCTTTAACGTTTTTTACTTAACTCCTTTTTTAGAAAGGAAAATGTTATTTAATTCATTTTTCACTTTAAGTTATGTTTACAATACGTTTATGCATTTTACGTGTTAGCATTTTAGAAAAAAAAACAAAGTTACTTTGAGAAAACAAATTTTTAGATGTGTAAACTCAGGATTTGTTGATTTTATTAATATTCCACAGCTAATTACATCCACTTCAGATACTATTATTTAACTAGATTGCAGGTTCGCAATAATGATAAATTGCATTTTTAAAATGTAAATAATAGCTCATGAGCATTTGCAAACATCGATAAAATTCCGAATCAATTTTGTAATAGTTTTGCAAATTATTTCATTATGTTCAATATAATAATATAAAATTTCGTATTCATATCATCTGATAATCGTTTACATAAGGACGCCTCTCTATTATTTACATTTCAAAACTGACACTTAATTATTTTATGATAAATATTTATTTTTAATTATTGTAAGATGTTACATAACTTCTATTGATTGTTTTAATGAAAAATACCTGATGCAAAGTATCCGATATAAAACTAATGACATGTATTTGAAATATATAACTTTTCTTATTGGGAAATTAGTCAATTGTGAACTTAAAAAGAATCAGGTTTTTAATTACGTACTGGTTTTAATTCTTTACTAATAGTATATAATTGACGAATCAGGAAACTTTACGATAATATTACAAACGCTTATGAATCATCTTAATGTTATAATAACGGATTTTCAATCAATCTAAGTACAGGAAAACTTAGTTTCACACCTACTTGAAATTTGATAAATCGGGAAAAGATTCATTTAATGGCATCTATCATCACTTTATAATAATTTCCTCAACAATCTAAGAACTAATTAATAGAAGTACTTATTGGAAAAAATATGTTCAAGATTTCATTCAAATATTAAAGAACTACTCGTTCTCTTGAACTCCGGAATAGACTACAATATTCCAAAATAATATTCTATTCATAATTTAGAGCTGATAAATTTCATGAAAAAAAAATCCGAGTGTTCATATAAATAACAGTAATATAAAACAGAGGCGGATCCTAGTTTTCTAAGGAAAATGGGGACAAGGAAATTTATTTCAAAATTCCGGAGAAATAGTAATAATGAAACTATTTCGTGCCTTGAAGAATTTAAAATCGATTGATTAACAAGATAAAATTATAAAGTAATTATGATTTAGCGTCTCAATAAAGGAGGGACTATTAACTCTGGTATTAACCCCCCGCTCTCTTCTCTGGCCCAGGAAAAATCCCGTATGATCTAAAAGTTGAAAATGTGTATAAAAAATGTAGGATAAAAAAAAAAAAAAAAAAATAGAAAAAGATCGTTATCAGTAGATATAGATGAGGCAAATAATTAATTTGATTTATACATCTGAAACAATCATATTGCAGGATTGTGATTAACTATGTTGAGTTAAATCAAACAACTTGCTCATCAGTCAAAAAAATATTATTTAAAAAACAAAATTAAAGATAATTGAGTGGGACCATTGTAATATATACCAAGTATTGACAACAGTAAAAAAAATTGAAGTGAAGGAAAAGATTAGTATAAATGGTGATGGGGGATTCCCAACGAGTCTAAAATAATAAAGGAAGGAGATAGTCCGGGGTGGCGGTCATAAATAGGCTGAATAGTGGTAAAACTATTTTATTGAAAGCCACTAATTCTACCACTATTTGTAACCAAATAACCAATAGTTTTACCAATATTTAGCCTATTTATGACCGCCACCCCGGACCATCTCCTTCGTTTATAATGCAACGGTCAACTATTAAATATTCAATAAGTCTAAAATAATAGTTTCTGCGTCTGCTCCCTTCCAACACCGAGCTTCGGCAAGACATTACTTGCAGTAAGGGTGATGGTTTCTCTATTTCTGAACCACAGCCCTTTAACTGACAATTTTCTCTCGCCCAAATTCGTTTCTATATTTTCCTTCCAAGTACGATGAGAGTTTCGTTTAAATATCCTCTTTCTCTATCTGTAGCTTGAAGTCTTGATCTTGATTTTTCGCCAATAATATAATTTTTAGAGAAAATTTTCAGCTTTCATGGATTCCTCACTGTTACAGTATTTTACAAGTCTTGTCTAGTTAAAACTATAAATTTTTGACTTATTCTCGATCAATGCAGATGTAGGACATTAGGACATGGATAATAAGATCGAACCACTGAACATTCATTCATATTTTTTTAAAATACAAATAATATTGCGTTCAGAACTCTAGCGAACGAGATATCACGTGAGTCGATTCCTGTTACAGAAAAAATAAGTTGCATTTTTGTAATCAATCATTTACACGACACGTGAGCGAAGTACTTTATTATTATAAGTGGAGCATGCTCATTATATTGGTTTTATTCAGTTGAGGATATATCTTTAACGATTTTATGTCAGTTTGTAAACAAAAAAAACCAATATGGCAACCGAGTTTTTTTTTTTTATTGTTCAGCTTATATGCGTAATTGCCTACTTCACAGTAATCAATGGAACCTATTGTTTCTCTACGTTGAACCATCGGGTTTTCCTCGTCAATTCCCATAGGGACGAAATTTTAATGGAGAAAGGATTCTATTTGAACCCAGCGCATTATATCTTAGTGACGCAAATCAGTAACTATTTGCTAAGTAATGGAGAGCTGGTCCATGATACCAATACGCTCTAGTGGAATATTTCATCAACGAACAAAATAACCTTTATTTTTATTAATTGCTTGAAGTTGGTCTAACTAACTAACATATTCTTTCTTCTCCTTTCCTGAGTTTCTCCATGTTTGAAAAAAAAAAACTTTACTTGGTTTTTGTTGGTGTTTGAAGGTACCCATTAAAATTGAGTTCATAAAATTAATGATCTGGAATTTCAATCAAAGTGATGAGTAGGTTTAGTCAGGGGTGCCCAGAAGGGGGTTTTATGGCACAAGTTACGCCATCATACTTTTTAAGGGGATCATATTTTTGAGGGGGGGGGCACATTTCAACGGGGTTATCAATATTCAGAATGAAAAGTTTCAGAATAGGGGGCAAGGAGAAAACTTAGGACATACCTCCGCAAGTGTAATTGTGTATGATATACGATTTTTCTAATTCTAGTTTCCCTTGCTCTGTTTTTATGAAAAGTTCAGCAATAATATATTTTTCGATGGAGAGTGGATAGGTTCTTGCGCCATCGATCTGGGGTGGGCACCCCTGGGTTTGGTTATTATTGCAATAATTGAATCTTCCTTTAAGCTGTTGGGCCAAGAATTTGGTATACTTAGTATGGGTTCCAGTCACATGGGAGTAGCGAATAAACTTTGTCTTGGACTTTTTCTCTCACAAGAAGTGCCATTACATGGACACTGTGCCGCTACTTCTGTTCATTCCTTCTGGCTCTTTCAATCCTCGCAATTCTCTCGACTTGAATTTTTTCCAAATCACGGTCAAAAGGTATTCCTATCCAACATTTGAACCTCCTGAATGTTGACCCTTTTTATGTCTTTACGAACATCCCTCATTAACGCCCTCTTGTCCACAACTACCTTATTCCGCAACTAGTCGAATTTGGATAATCAGGTTTTGACCATTCTTTGCAAGACCCCTAGAAATTGCATCCTCCACTTTCTCATAGTCTCCGAGATTTTCTACACATTTTTGTGAATTTCATTATTGTTCCTAAGTTTCCAGCTGGTTTCATACTCGGATTTTCTGTATTATTATTCTTTCTATTATCACCAGCCTTTCCAGCTTGTAGCTTTTTATTTATTATTGTTATTATTTATTTTATTTTTTAAAGCTAGAAAAATTCTCTCAGTTACAGAATATTAACCTTCGCACAGATTCAATCTGGTTTACCTTGAAAATTAGTAATCTAATTAAAAAGTCAATTTCGGTTATCTTGCAAGATAAACTCATTTATGCCACCACTTACATCTTCACTTTCATCTCCACATATATTTGGGAATTTACTGGCTTAAAAATTTTTAATTACTTTTGTGTTGCCTATAAAATATGTATTTGCACCTGTCAACAATACGTTGACAATTAGTAAATGTGATGGCGATAATGATATAATGACACGACAGGCACGGGGAAGGAAAGTACTCAGCAGTACCTCTTCCCTCACTTCATTCATATTTTGAATTCACATTGTTACCCAGGTAAATTAAATGAGTTTTATATAAAGAGACTTTTTTTTCTCTTTCTGGAGGAAAATAGACGTTATTTTTGGTTTTTGTCCCCTTCTTCGCCTTTTAGGTTATATGGTTGTTGTTTTTTTTGGGTCAGGGGAGAGGTTGGGGGATTAATGCCAGAATTAATTATTTTATCATAACTTCTTTTATCTAACTGCCGTCACGTCCTCTCCCCTTCCTGGAAACAGAATCTAATTTTGATTTTGCTGTAAACAGATTAATTAGTTTTATCAGAGAAGGTGTTTTAATATTGTCTGGTTACTCTATTCCGTGCACTTCCTTCGTTAGCCCAACAGTTTTCTCCTAAACCCACCAGAACGTGGCGACAATGACATTGCCGTGACGTGGTTGTGTTAAGAAGCGACCCCGCTAATAAGACATAGAGGAGATGCAGAGAAGCAGAGCGCGTATTGTATTACCGGCTTTCGCCCCATCCTGCCTGCCGGGAGAAAGTGCCCAGGATTCTCCGCTTGATTGATTAGTTCTGATTGGTCGTATCCGTTTCCAGCAGCTACTGGAGTCCAGAGATATCTCCTCTTTTCGCTACCTTTCTTATTGCTCATTCTCTGTTTAAATGCAGATCTGTTCCGGTGTTGGGCAGTGCTGTGGATAAAATACACACGATATCCCAGTTTAGTTCAATTAGCTACTCTCTAGTACTCAGACCTGGGTAAAAAGTATTTTGATTATTATTTTTAAATACAGTATTTAAATTACCAAGAATTTTTTTTTAAATATATCACATAGTGTTTAAATTGTTTTCAGAATAAATATTTCAAATACATTAGCTAAGACACTCAAGAATAATGATTTAGAAACACTGTTCAGAAACCAACGATTTCTTAGTTTTTAATGCAATAACAAATAAACAAAAGCATGTGGGTATTTGGGTAGTTATTTTCATTAGCTTAGTTTCGTTTAGTTTATAAACATTTATTTTTATGATTATTATTTTGCTGTATTATTTAATTTTATTTATGGTGAATGGAGTGTGAGTGTGCTCTTTCAACACTATTATAAATGTCCTTAATTGTGACAGATTGTAATATCTCTCAATAAATATGTTTTTAATAAAAAATAAATCTAACAAATACTGGTTTTAATTCACTTTCGTTAAAATAGAACGTTTTAGATATAACTATCCTTCCCGTTTATACTTTCTATTAAGCTATTCCATTCTTGAGATGTAAACATAGAGAATAGTAGGCGTTTCTCTTGTAGTCCTGATCTAGGAGTGTTTAAAACGGTATGCAACAGCATTCCGTTCTTTTTAACCGCCTGCTTTCACTTTTCTATTTAAGGAAGGAGATGTATGTTAATGTTGGCCGAATATGATTTCTAACAAGATTTTAGAGACCTTAGAATTTAAGCATCGACCAATTCAATCAAATTATAACTCATTTGTTACCTCGGGATAATTGATGACACACACAAAAAAAAGAATAAATTAATAAATGACATCCTGTTAGCGATTGAAACAGATAATTTAAAAAATAAAAATAAAATCTGATAAAAATTGAATTTGGAATTATTAAAAATTATTTGATGATTTTTGTTAAGAGCTTTGATTATTTTTTAATTTTTGAACAATTTGTTTACAAACAGTAATCATGATTCTGTAATACTTGTTTTATTCAGGAATATATATATTTTTTTTTGTAATCTTAAGTTTAGAGAAGTATGAGAAGAATATTGTTGTCAACTATTAGCATCTTTATTTCCGAAATTTGTTAGAAATTTTGGCTTAAAAATTTTTGTATATATATATATAAATAGGTGTGTACAATAAAAACGATTTCAGAAATATAATATTAAAAAATGTGTACATCTATAACGTGCACATAAATATTAATATTTTATTTAATTTGTGTGTAGAAGGTTATTGATCATTATTATTTATGTAAAACTATATAAATCAGTCGAAAATAGAATTAAATATTTATTTATAAACCAGGCACGATTTAAATTATTTTTTTTTTATTGAAAAATATTACAATATTTCTCAAAGGATATTTATATTAGTGTTCAGAGATCACATTCACACTCTATGCACAATAAATAAAATAAATTATACAGAAAACAAAGAAAAAAAACAGTTCGATTGTTTTGTTAACCTGTACCACTACCACTACAACCATGGAGGGTCTTGGATTCAGTATTAATTAAGGAAAGCACTGTTTCTTGGTCTATGGTTGTGTAAGGAGGTGATTTGAACGAGATCACGCTCAACCGCCAGGTTTTTCCCTTTAACCAATTATTTTAATTAAGAGTACTTTCTTGTTATTAGCTGGGTGTTCCCCAGGGGGGGTCATTCTACCCAAGGTCGCTTCAAGGCCAATGAAACAGAATAAATATTTTTTCTGCTACGAGCCGGGATTCGAGCCTGGGATCTTTAGCATTGGAAGCTCAGTGGCCTACCACTGAGCTACCTCACTCTCTGCTTTTTTAACCTATGCATACATTTATTTTCGTATATAGTATTATAGTATCTGTTAAAAAGCCATCTAAATACATACTGAAGGAAACAGGAGAGAAAGGTTATATAAAACAGCTGATATAAACGAGAAAAAATACTCATACATAAAATATAATAATAAATTTGTAAATAAATAAAAAATTATTAATAAAACGAAAAAAAACTCGAAGGTATATAGAAAATCCATATTCCACAAAATTTAGTGGATACACGATTAATATAAATAATTATGTTAACTATGTCAATCATCATTCATAATAATTAGGCATAATATAAACTACCGAGAATTTTTTTTGGGGGAGAGATTCCATTGCTTCCACCTCCTCCAACCAGAATGGATACACAATAAATATTGTTCTTAATTAGGTTGAATAATATAACATGATCTTTTCGTAAATATTATACTAATGAAATCTCCTTAAAGGATAATGTGCTTTTTTTTAGAAGTTGAAATAGTTAAACAAATATCGAATTCATACACGGAGTTCATGGTGCCCCCGTAGAATCTTCTCGTGTGGTCCGTCACTTAAGAACTCATCTAGATTACACTAAAAATTGTCCATCTCTCACGCTTTCATCAAATCTCCATTAGTGACGGTACGTTCCCTGGCCTTTTAAGTCCATCTTGAATACTTATTATGTGGCCGAGATACTGTTAGATGGCCGTACACCAATTCCAGCCCATATAATGAAATTTTACGCACAATTTCATCCTGAGAGAAGTAAAAAAAAGTGGAAAACACGAAGAGTACCACGTGATTTTTTATATCTCATCCAGATTATTTTTCTTATCCCAACATTTTCTATAGTATTTTGATCACACAGGTTAGTAGGTTAGTTTGACTGCTATCGTAATTGTTTTATCTAAAATCTTTAAAATGTAATAAGTAGATAAATAGAACATTTATTTGTTTAAAAAATGAATAATTACAGAGCCTACGATTTAAATCCTCCATTCAATACCGTCCCACTAGATCCGGTTCTTCCAATCTCTATCCTCCTCCTCACCGAATTGCTACGTTTAACAAATCCTTTGTAATTCTATCCCTCCGAAAATCTGACACGCACAATCAGTTTCCTCATTCAAATCGCTCTTCTTTAAGCACCTACTCCTTTACCAATATGATTGATCACGAAATTTTTATTTGATTATCTCATCTTATTTCTCTATTTTTGTTTCATATATATTTTTTTTTCTCTCTCTCTTTCTTTCTGTATTTTTATTTTAATTAACTATTATTTTAGAATTATTTAATTTAATGTATAGCCACAGTGGCACTTAATCTGTATTTATAATTTATTCTAAAGGGACAGCAGTTCTAGGATAATAAAAAATATTGTTATTTCATTTTTATATAATTTTTAATACCTTTTTTAAATATCATTAAACGAATTATCGACAATGAACTTACATTCGTCTGTCGAGGTGTTCGCCTAGTTTATATATTATAATATCTTATCTTTTATGAATTATTAGTTTCAATATAACAAGATCCAAATTTTAATATTTACTACATCGTAAAAATAAACCCAAACCTATATTTTAACTAAAAATCTTTCTAAATGTATAAATATAATACATACACGCACAGTGCACAAATATACATGAACATACAAACAAATCTATTTTATTCTAAATTAAATTCTCTCACTAATTCACATCTATAATTAGTAGATCTTTTTAAGTAGAAATGAAGATATCTGTAGTTTGGGATAAATATTTATGAAGATGTGCCATCTTTGTCAAGAGAAGCATAATGTTCAATGATCGTATAGTGAGTGCATTGATGCTGACACCAATATAAAGCATAATAGTTAAGTTACAATATCATTTGATGTTGAGTACAATGTATTTTTTTCTGTTGCAGTAATGGAGTCCTTAAGAAATATAATAAGAAGCACATCACGATTACACTTCCTGAAGGAAAGAACCTCAACAACATCCGGTGGTTCTCAGTTTGGTGCGAAGAGTTCGCGGTAAGATAATCAACATTTATATTATTTCGAATGTTTAATGAATAATAATACATTAGTTAGTAAGTATTTCTTCAAATCCAATACAAAAAAAATAGATAAGTAATTTCTACTTAGATTTTTTTTTTCAAATAAAACTTCTTTAGGTGCGTTTTGCACTTTTTTTGTGGAGAGTGAATTAGATTGAGCCGTCAGATATCCGATGTGTAACGCTCGGGTAAAGTCGGGTGAATTTGACTGATTGAATTGTTTTTGCATATGGATTAAAATATCTCAAAAACTAAAAATCGGCCCTGCATACTGTAAGCGAGGGAAATGTTCAGCATTTCATTCTCTTTATAATGAGCTATTATTTATAATTTATGTTTCATATTATTAATATGATATGATGTTTTCACTCCTATCGTGTGGTCTTAAGCACACACCGTAGTTTTTTTCTCTTCAAATCGTAATCCGCACCGACGATGAACAGATGTACTGTTGGTGTGAATTCGTCATTTTAGCATGAGTAAGGATGGTACCCAGCAGCCCCACTTCCTGGTCTTTATTCGCTTCCTTGAGTCAGGAAAGGATATGTCTCATCAAGCATCTTTTCTGTCGTCCTCTGGTGGGCATAATAGTTGTGGCTGATAGTTTATGCACGATGTTTATAGTTTATGATTGTTTAATATGAAATCTTGAGTTAAAGATTATCTGTTGGTCGATAGTTGGTTGCGTAAGTTGGTATGTGAACTTTTGTTATTTACTTACTAGAAAACTGCTGTTATTATTTTTAAAATTTTGAATTTGGAAAAAAGTGAATATAGTATTTTCAGACCCTTGTTTAAAATATTTCTTCTCATTTTGACCTGTCGGCCCCAGATTATCCTTCTGTTTAATTAAGTCCAAGATAAAACACAATGTTCGTCTCAGCAATTTGGAAGTCGTCGATATAAACTACTGGGAACGTTTTTCATCGAAGCGTAAATGTAATATGTTGTGATTTATCATTATTTAATTGAATTTTAGTTAAGCTAGTCTAGGGTTTGAGCGTTTTGTTATTTTCGGATGTTATAATTATAATAAATATTTTTTTCTAATTTAGAATTCTGCTAATTGGATGTAAAAGTAAAATCGAGACACAAATAATTTGGTATATAAATAAAAATAAAATAAATACCTGATAACTTTTAAAAATACAAATTACGTGATACTAATATACAAGCTTAATAAAAAATACAAGCTTCTCTTCCGTGATGGGCCACATCTGAGAACGTAGAAAGAACGGGTAGGAAGGGATGTTAAAATTAATTTAAAGATGGTGGAATCAGTCTTTCTGGTGGAATCGTAAACATTTCCTGAATCCTGGAATACTATGAACCCAATCTGTCTATGTTAATCATTTTGTTCAAATTTGTTTGTTTTAATATATATTTATATATTATTTTAAGATTTCCTACGATGGGCGGGGCAGACAACTATCCCACCTCCCCCTTGATACGCACATGACCAATAATTTTCATTCCTAATCAATTCCTTCCCATCAATAAAATTTTCGTTCTCAGACGATGAAACTTTGATATGAGTTTCAAATATTGTCAGCTATTAGTCATTTTCTATTCCATTTTCTTTTCCCAGGTGAACTTCGGAGACATCCAGATCCCGAGAGGGTTGGACTTCCCCAAGCCACAAAAGATCAGCCCCCTGGCAGGAGTCCACGCGGTGTCCTCTGAGAACATCGTCATCGTTGATGCCCAGACTCTTCTCATACCTTCCTTCTCCTACGATGGAGAAGCACCAGGTAAGATAGAATTAAGATTTTTTATAATAGATACAGGAAATTAAATAATTATTTATTCATAATTTTGTTTTTAGTTTCTCTATAAGTTTTTTTTTTAAATTTTCCTGAATGCATCTCAGGATAATTGGCATTACTTGTATCAGGAAAAATAAAATTAGTTTATCTTATGTAGCGAAACTAACATTTTCTTCGGTAAGATATATTTTTTGACTGATTAAAAAAATCAAAAAATCATTTTGATTCAGAGGTGCCCACATGGCATCAATCACATGGCGACATCCGAATTTTCAGGAGGACACATTTTTATGAGATTAAGAATTTCAGGAGAGAAATAGATATTTTTGTGGGGACTTAATTTGAAAAAGGTTCAAACCAAAAAATAAACTACAATTCTTGTAATTTTACTTTCATTTACACCGTTTGAAGTGGAGAAATGTTTTCTTTTTTATATTTGAATATTATTCGAAATATTTTTAATTAAAACGATGCCAAAATATTTGTCACTATTATTATGTTTGATGATAAAATTCATACATTAAGCATAACGTTATTATCAAGGCTTGGTTTTATTGAAAACACTGATATTGTTCTCTATATAATAATAATAATAATAATATTAACTATAAAATGCGATTCATCTGCATTCATGAAGTGTAGTTTTCTTCTAGCATTTGTAATAATTGTGCTATCATTATCATAAATCATTCAATTTTACTATCCCAGCAATGATGATAATAAGTATATACATCACAATAATTCTTGGGTGATAAATATTCAGGACGCAGTCTTTTTAAAAAAAAAAAAATTATTTTTTATTTATGCCAACGTTTCAACCCAAACATGTCGGTCATCTTCAGGGCGTGATTTGAGCACTGAGGGTGTTCAAGTACTCTTTAGTACTCTAGTACTTGAACACCCTCAGTGCTCAAACCACGCCCTGAAGATGACCCATATGTTTGGGTTGAAACGTTGGCATAGATAAAAAATTAAAATTAAAAAAAAAAAAAGACTGAGTCCTGAATATTAATCATTCATGATATGTATAACAATCCACTAACTTCCATCAATAATACACAATAATTCTTTTACAAAATCCTTATTGATTTTATATTTACATTTCGGAATTCTTTTAGCTTCTCTGCGTATTATTTAGAAATCTACATTAATTGTTAGGCAAAGAGGTCCCTCATCCAGCTCCTCTTTAATCTTCTACCGACGTTACCTGGCATGTTTGATGTGACCATATCATTCATGAGTATGTTGGGGTGTCTTTGTAATTTGTCATGGAATCGTTTGTAATCAATAGGTATTTGTTTACAGTCGGCATGTGAAGGTCATTGTGTAAGGTATATTGCTAACGTACAACGGTGCGTAATTAAATAGGTTTTAGTAAGTAGTTGTGTATGTTAAATTTCTGTCTAAGTTTTAGTTTTCAGTATTTCAAGAGAAGTGCATGTAGAAGTCTTAGTCTTTAGTTTCTTTTTTTCGTGATATGTGGGTTCTATATCAAATCTCAGACCAAATCAAGTGTCTTAAATTCGTGCTAAAATTGTTGTGTGGTCTGCATATATCGCTGAAAATGTAGGAACTACTAGGTATGTCGTGAGTGAATGTAATATAGAGTAAAGGAGTGAGTACTGAACCATGTCGGGCGGAGAAAGATCTGTTCAACTTTACTATTCAAAATTTTGCTGATTTGATTTATTTTTATTTAAAAGTAAGATTAAACAAATATTAACATAAATAATAAATAAATAACATATAAATAACTATTTATTATTTCAAGAATGCCTCATAAAATCATGGAATGATCTTTGCCATATGAAATAATCCTAGCAAAATGTCTCGATTCGATGGGTAATGATTATAGGAAGAAACCTGTTTCTTAACGTTTCGTTTAGCTCATTAAATTGCTTCATATTCTTCAGTCGGTTTGTCCTTCAGACTATCCATTTTTATTTTTGTTCGAAGTGGGAAGGCGACGAGTACTCAGAAATCTGACTCTCCCAGTCCGCAATGAAACTATTTGTTCTAGTCAAGAGAGTGCCATGGTGCTCCTCCCACGCATGCAAATCATGGAATAAAAAATGGCAACCTAAATAGCAGGTCCAATGTTTAACCTCTCGTGTTCTACATGATATGTCAACTGTGAAGTAACCAGCTGAGAGCAGTTTCACTTGAAAGTAGAAGTGATCATTGAGATTCAACGCCAACCTATCAGCTTTGCATTCTAGGCGGCGCGCTGGTGTTTAGCAAGTTCGACCTGTATTCCGTCTAACAATTCCGAAAAATGGAACACATTCTGCTCATTTCAATAAGAAAAATACTTTCTCATGCACCTCTAAGTGGTGTATATGTATACAATTTGAAGACATTTTATTTATGTTCATAATTTTATTTTGTGACAAAGGTCAGTGAACGAATGACAAAATAAGGAAATAAATAATTCAACGTTTCTTAAGATGAAGAAATCATTTCCTATATTTTCGGTAATTGTAATCGACCAAGAAAAAAAAAATTATAATACTTCCTTCATGTTGTAATCCAAATTTTTCACGAATTACAATGTCTCGTACCTCAGCTATGATTTTTTTTTTCTTTAGGAAATTTAGTAATCTTTTAAATAATGATAACGAAAAAATGTATATTTTTTTATTTATTCCGAAATCAAGTTTCCTTCATAACATTGTTCCTGGTATTTCGGGAGGATGTAACTATTCTCACCTGAAGGAGAAGAAGACCTCCAAAATCAGCAGTCAGTCAATCACTGTATTTGATGAAGATATGGCATACCGACAAAATAACAAAATTCACGGTCTTCAACTTCACGGCCTGGGTATTGATGTAGATCCTCTATGCCAAATCTGTAGTGTTCCGGAAACTGTAGAGCACGTGGTCACGACCTGCACCGCATTTGAAACGTTAAGAGCGACAAGAGCCGCGGGAATCTATGTCCTCAATGAAAATGAGTTTCCTCAGTTAGTCAGCGATGAAAATTTCTCGCGGTTTAAGGATTTCATATATGGATGGAAGACGGCGGTGGGGCCCGCTCACTTCCGTATTGGTGCCCGCAGAAGAAGAGGACAAGCGCCAGGAAGACCTCCAGATTCTGGAAGAATAACAGAAGAAATGCACATCATGTTAACTAGTAGTAGTGTGTTATTAAGCATTCATGCCTAATAACACACTATCGCAAATACCCGTATTGCCATAGTGGCATGGGAGGGTGGAATATATAAATAAACAAATATACCGACAAAATAACACCTATGCGAAATGATAAATAATGATTATATTTCAATTCTATTTATATGGTATGCTGCTAAAATAAATAGGAATATTTTGATATTTATAAAGCTAAACGACGTGTGAAAAGTATCCCATGGTGATCGTCACGCCTAGGATGCTTTTCGCAAAAATTATGATTTATCACGTACGGCACACACAGAGTCTAAAAATGCAGTGCATGGTTCTAACAGTTCTAAAAGGATTTTACCACGTCTTGTCATAAAATTTCATCTGTATCTGAGATTAAAATCTCTACCTTTTTCAATTACTTTTATTGCAGTTTTTTTTTACTTTATTTTATTTTACATTTTACGTTGCATAGCATCAAGCAAATCTCGTTCGTGCTGTCCTCTTATTTAGTGGTAATTATTTATATTGTGAGCACATCTCAAGGCCACAGCCTTTTTAGTCTTCTTTGAGCCTCACGAGGTGACAGAGAGGAAGAAAGAGAGAGAACAAGTGGAATTAGATTGTTAATAGCTGAAGAGTGGAATGTTGTGTATTTGTTATGTATGTAGAATTTGACGGTTGTTATATTAATGTGATTGTGTATGGTGTAATTTGAAATAAACTAAGGTAAATTTTATGTTTAGATATTGTCATTCATTACTTCTCAAAATTCCATTTGTTTGATTCCTCGTTCATCAAAACCATTCCTCCTATAGTATAGATTGGATTCTCTAGAAACTTTAACTGGTTCTCTCTCAATCAAGTTGCTCTTTATATTGTAGTTGTAACGAGCAAAACGTGGTTGATCTAGTTGTTGTATGTTTAAAAATTGAATTATTTTGAAAGTCAAACAGAATCTTGTAAAAGTTTCGCTTCGTCGATAAATTTGTAATTTTCACGCGACAACTTACCACGGATATAAAAAAGAGAAACTAGAGAAACAAGGGAAGCAATTTAGAGGAGAAAACAAAAGTACAACTAAAGAAAGTGAAGGCTTCTAAGGAAACCAGTTTTTAATAAGGGGAGTCACAAGTTGGACAGGAAACGGCGAGCTTTGCCCGCGATTTGGAGCCTACCGTGGGATTTTCGGATCTCGAACTTCCGCAGCGATGGCTCTTCCAGGTGAGAGGGGAAAGAGAACAATGGGCAGATATAAATAGCAGCAATAAGAAGCAACAGCCATTCCAGAAACAGTAAACACAAACTTAGAATTGCCAAGGAGAAAAAAGGCCGAGCCGATCGGGTCCAGTCCACGCCCTCTAACAGCATTCCTCAACGTTTTTTCTAACTCTCTGCCCTTCTTTAAATAGATCTCTAGATTTCTCGCATTACATCTCCCCGAGGCTAACACAGTGATTTACTGTTAATATAATTGATACAACGGTCCATCGCCTGGATTTAAAGATGAACGAAAATATAATCGATGCCACCTAAATTTTACTGCTGAAATACAAGGATTGTAGTAATCGTTCAACAATTTTCCTTACGAGATTTAACTTAATTTGCACATTTAATGACATCAAACCGTAAATATTCGTCGGTTGTATCGATAGAATCCTCATTTTGATTTATTATTTTCAATAATCAGCCATTGTGATCGACCAAAAAATTCAAAAACTTAACCCCCTCTCAAAATTTGAGGTCACAATCACAAACAAGATATTTTTTTATACAAACTTAATAAAAATTAATTTAAATTTTTAAACGACGGACAAATAGAAACTGAATCAAATTTGATCCTTAATGTCTGAAACGCAAAAAGA